ATATTAGGGGTGGAAAGGTACACATATGTCACGAGTCGGTACATACCTCGGTTCAGGGGTCACAGTTCGATACGATTTCGGTACAACAGGGAAAAAAACTAATCTACTATGCTCGATTTTTTTTCATTTATTTTGAACAGACAGTAGTACAAACTAAAAAAATGTCCACCTAGATGTGAAAATACTAAATATTATTACATTATGTTATATACATATATATATATATATATATATATATATATATATATATATATATAAAATCTGCAGTACATAAATACATTTCAAGGAATAAATTCTTAAAATATATTTGATTTAATTTACAGATAAACAAGGGGGAAAAAAACAGTGCGACGCGTAACGTAGCCTATATACGCTGAGTTTCAGTTCATTTTTGTGACAGGCTCAAATGGCAGAAAGCGACATCCTATTTAGTTTTCTTTATTTTACAAAAGCACAATGTTTTGTTTTCATTGTGAGTGTACACAAATAAAAGCAGACCTTTATACAGTGATGCATTATTAATAAGACAATAAGTGTTTAAAGTTGATTCCGCTGGTATAAGGAAACAGTTGAAGTGATCGCGCCGGCACGCACGCACGCACACACACACACACAAAACACATCAATTCCAGCATTGCAAACTTGACAGCGCAGTTGGTACTTTATCAAAATAAAATGCAGTGAACCAAACATCAGCTCTGTGTCACCGTTGGAACGCGACTGACTAATTTGCATAATAAATAAATGTTTAGCATTCAGATACGTTACATTGCAAACATGGAAATATTATGGAATATTTGGATTTGTGCCGAATGAGAGAGGTAGGATACAAGAGCACAAAGATCCATTTCGCAAACAGTTGAGTGCACAAGCCTTTAAAGGGGTCCTATTATGCTTTTTCACTTTTAAAATTTTAGTCAGTGTGTAGTGTGTATGTTTGGGCATAAAAAAGATCTAGAAAGTTACAAATCTCAAAGTACACTCCAAAGGGAGATATTTGGTTTTTAAAAAATCCCAAAATCCCTTCTACAACGAATGGCTCGTTTAGACTACAGTGTTTGTTTTCTGGGTTTTATGATATCACAAAGCGGCTCATCGGCTCATTATTAAAAATAATTCCCGCCTACAAAAATTTGAATGGTTGGGGGTTGGGGAGGGGCGAGGTCATGGTTAGAACGCTTGGTTGAGTGAGTGCATCAGACGAGACGACGAAGAAGAAGTGCTGCTGCAGAGTTAGTGCATCAGAGAAAACCAAGAAGAAGAGCTGCTGTGCTGTAGC